CGCCGCTGCTGCTGCTGCTAGCGGCGGCAGCGCTGTGTGCGCGGGCGGCCGCCGCCGAGCCCTGCGCCGCGCCCTGCTCGTGCCGCCGCGGCCTGCTGGACTGCAGCCGGCAGCGCCTGCCCAGCGGGCCCGGCCCGCGGAGGATTCCGCCGCTGCCCGCCGGCACCACGGGGCTGTGAGTGAGCGCGGCGGGGCCGGACGGGCGGCGGGCTGTGCGCAGGCCTCGGCCTGGCGGGACGGGCCCGGGCCCGGCGGCGGGGCGGTGCGAGGCCCGGGCTGAAGGGCCGGCAGGGCTCGGCGCTCGGCGTCCTTGTCTCGCTCTGTAGCTCCCTGGCAGGAGGGTGCAGCCGGGTGCGGGTCGGGCTCTCTTCCCGCGTAGCAAGCGTTAAGACAAGAGGACATAGTCTTCAGCTGTGCCAGGGGAGGTTCAAGTTCGGCATCGGGAGGAATTTCTTCACAGAAAGGGTGGTGGGCGTTGGAAGGGGCTGCCCAGGGAGGGTGGAGTGCCATCCCCTGGCGGCGTTCAGGGAGCGGCTGGACGTGGCACTCAGTGCCATGGTGTGATTGACAAGGTGGCGTTTGGTCATAGCTTGGGTTTAATGATCTTGGAGGTGATTGTGTGATTTTGTCCGCGGGATGTTCTCACGGAGCCCGCCGCGGGCAGGGCGGCCCCGGCAGTGATGCCCCAGGGTGGGAGGCAGCTCTGAGGTCTCTGGAGTCTCAGCTGAGCGGGGTGGAGGGGCAGAATCGTTCCCTCCTTTGCTGCTCATGCTGGGGGATCAGCCCAGGGCTCAGGGGCGTGTTCTGGGCTGCAGATGCACGTTTCTGTTGAGCTTCTCATCCTCCAACATCCCCAAGTCCTCCCCAGAGCTGCTCTCAATCCATTCTGTGTCTATCCTCTGTTGTGGCTTTCAGGATTTTGGCACATGAAGCATGGGTGATGTTTTTTCTTCACTAGTACTACTCTAGCAGTTCTGAATCTAAATGAGCTATAATGTATACCAGCTGTTTAAAATTAATCAAAGCCTAATTTTTCTCACAGGATCAAGTCCCTCATATGCTTTTCCCTATTACTTCTGTGATACCATTTCAGCTGGCACTGAGGACTAAAAATTCTTTTTTCCTAATTCTCAAATTACTTGCAGGTGGTGCTTCCAGTGTGTGTGTGTGTGCAGCTTGGTTTTATTTTCACTTTTTGTTTTTAATAAAGCCAGAAGAGCAGAACTTGGTTTTCATGATGGAAGTACTCAGGCAACTAACTTCATTTTTCCTATGAATTTATATATGTTTTGTGGCTAACCTGGTGGGTGATGAAAAGCGTTGTGAAGTTAGGGATTTAGGAAGTTTTTTTTTGTATGTCTGCCCCTTAACATTAGTTTATTCAGAGCAAGGAATGCCCGCCCTGTGTGTGGGGGCAAAGAGAAGCACAATGCTGGTGGTCGCTGCCTCTAGTCCCGTAGTGGTAGGTATGTTTATATATCCTGGTAAGCAGAGAGATGATGAATAGAAATAGTTCAGGTATCAGTTCATTAGCTCAGTAAGTTCCGTTCACAGTAGATTTTTTGGGTGAGCTCAGCTGGCTGCCTGCATTCTGCATCACCACCTCTACAGTGCCACAGTATGCTCAGCTTGGCTGAATTAGGATCATTCTTCATCAGCCATAATCGGTTTGGTATGTGTGTTCTGTTTTATTTACTTAAGAGATGAGTACCACTTAGGCTCAAAATGAATGTTTAGATGATGTTATATACAATACCAGATGAATCTCTAAAATACAAATTTTGCATGTTTGCTCTGTAGTCTGCACAGCTTGGGCCTCCCAATTGCAAAAGCTGCATAAAGGGTGGGTTCCTGTTGGCTTTTCCAGAACAAGGGAATGGCATCTTGTTCTCCAGAATAGCAGGAATCTTAGCTCTGTGAATGATCTCTAAACACAGAAAATCAGCCAATGTATTTCATTCTGTATTTTGTGATCAATTGGTCTGTTTGAAAAAGAAAACTATCAGTAAAAGAATGTAGATATAAATAATGTTAGAATCACTATAAATATCAACTCTACCCAACTCCTTGAAAGAGGACTTATTGTAATGAAAACTTTGTTGTAGTCCAAATCTGAGTAATAATAGAAAAATACTTCCCTGTGCTTTCTGAATTAAAATCTTAATTTCTAACTCAGTAATTAGACAGTAGGCTTTGCAGGGTGGGGGGGATAGCTGGATGTTAGCACATCCTCATCACCCAGGCCCCATGGCTGTCAGTGATTAGGAGGAATTTGGAGGAATTCAGTGTCCCGAATAATCTTAACTTTTGGTCAGTCCTGCAGTAGTTAGGCAGGTGGACTAGAAGGTTGTTGTAGGTTCCCTACCCAGCTAACATATTCTATTATAGTTTTTCTGAAAGCCTTAGAAAAATCAAGTTTCAGTTTTCTATGTGTATTAATCTTGCTTCCAAGATCTATGTCAGTGCCCGCTAGCTGTGCCTGACACACGGGTCGGTCTGGCTCAGAACCCCTGGCCTGGTTTTGCTCATTGGTGGAGTATCTGCACACCTTGAGGGGTGCATTGTTATCTTCTGTGTCCGTTGTCTCCTTCCTCTGCCTGTTGTGCACTGGTTCTTTGGAAACAGCATGGCTTAGTACTTCCTGCTCTGGTTAAACTCTGCTCCAAGATTAGACTGCCAGCACTGGCTGGGTGCTTGCATGTTTGAAAAATTCAGGAAAGTCTACTGTTGTTGTTTGGGATCATATCTCCCTCCACCTGTCTGTGCCAGGCTCCTGTGATGCCCAGAGGCTGGGGCTGAGAGGGGTTCAGGGGAGTGTGGGCAGCTGCAGAGACTGTCTTGAGCATTCAGCCCTCTGAGGTGGGAAGCCTGCTGAGGAGCAGCTCATGCTTGGTTGTTTTTGTGTTTTTGCTAGTGTTTAGGGCTGGCTTAATTACCACATGTACTGAGGAAGCAGAGCTGCAGAATAGTTCTGCAGCTGGCTGCAGTTTTTCTCCTCTCCAGGTTCTCTTGATTTTTTTTTTTAATTGTTTCCAAACCCACACTGCTCTATCGGTATAATTTGCATCTTGGTGTAATTAAAAGAATACATTAACAACTGCCTGACTTGCCATGACACCCAGGATTTTAATAATTCAGCAGAATCTTTACACTGAGCCTGAGTGAAAGTTAACAACTATAATATACTGTAGTCTGTCAATTGTCAGTCCATTTTGTCTTTTAGTAGGTTGTGGTCTTACAGATCAAAAATAGTCTGCCAGAGCTCAAGGAGTGTTTGGACAATGCTCTCAGGCATGTGGTGGAATTTTGGGGTTGGCATGTTCTGGGCCAGGAATTGAACTTAATGATTTTTGTAGGATCAAGTTTGGCCCTCGGTGTATTTGGAGTCAAACACAGGCCCAAAGCTATTGCAGGAACAAAGGAGTTTGTGGATGCTGTGGCTTGTCCAAACCTGGCTGTCAATGGAAATATTTTTAATTATACTCATTCGCATTTTAATATTAATTTTAACAAATACAGTTTTGGTTGCAAAGTGTGATTTTTGTCTCCTGCATCAGCATAGCTGCTGCCTGCCTGATAATCTTAAAACCAACTGTAATAAATACATACAATGCTACTGCAGCAATGATGAAATGATCAGTGATACAGGACCTTACCAGAGGAGCTCATAGGGAGGGGAACCGCTTTGCTGAAAACAGCTTGTTATAGCTCTCCTTGACATCAGAATTGGACATGGGGAGGGAAGCATGGTGCCTTGCTGCTAGGCTGGAACAACTAGCTGGCATAGAACATTTTGAGCTAGAAGAGGTGCAAAAGAATCATCGAGTCCAACTCTTGGCCCTGCATAGGACACCCCAAAATCCCACCCTATCCCCAAGAGCTTTGTCCAAATGCTCCTTGCACTCTGGCAGCCTTGGGGCCCTGACTGCTCCCCTGGGGAGCCTGTTCAGTGCCCAACCAGTCTGTGGGGGAAGAACCTTTTCCTGATATGCAACCTAACCCTCCTCTGACACAGCTCCAGCTGTTCCCTTGGGTCTTGTCACTGCTCAGACAGAGCAGAGATCAGAGCTGCCCCTTGGAGAAAGCTGCAGACCCTGGTGAGTCCTGACCTCAGTCTGTTCTTCTCCAGGCTAAACAAGCTAAGTGACCTCAGCCACTCCTTGTATGGCCCCTTTAGACCCTTCACCATCTTCATAGCTCAGAGACATAAGCTGTGTCTAGTTATTCCTGCCCTCACCAACAGATATCCAGCTGTGGTGAGGGCACCAGTCTTATTCTGCAGGTCTGTTCAGACACAATGACTCAGGCTCTTGATGTGAGCTTTGGGAGATTCATGTCTGGTGCTGGACGTGAACCACCAAAATGTCACACAACTGGGTTGGTTTCACCTTTTGGACTGACATCTGCCTATCCTTTCTGGTGTGGCTGAGACTGTGTTTCCATCACAAACCTGATTTTTTGGTCCATCCTTGCCTCATGTCATGACTAGAGGCAGCCTGTGCTCAGAAATGGATGCATCTGTTGCATTTATGCGCCAAGTCCGAGGCAAAAGTAAAATACTATGTAAAGTTGCAGCAATGGGAATAGCACCAACACCCAGTGTGAGCATTAAAGCTGGATTTAATGAGTCCTGCCCATTGAAAGAGTCCAGCTCCTGCATTTGATTCTTATAAGTAAAACCAACTGGTGCTAAAGCATCTGTCTGTAAGATTCCCAGCCGCAGGGTTCTCTCCGCTCCAGCTTGTTTGGGAATTTTGTGTATGTTGGTCCTTTAAAATAAGCCTCCCTTGGCTACTTAGCATCTTTGGAAAGCTGAGAAAATGGGGATCATGCTGCAGGAAGCAGTTCAATAACAGGCATTTTGTAAGAAATTACTCTCATGTCCCTGCGAAGTTTTTCCTTCTTTCAGTAGACAAGTGTTGTTAATAAAGCTCTGGATTAAAGCCAAAATTCTCTGGTCAGGTACAATCTTCCTATCAAGAAGCTTTAACCAAAGTTTTTTGATTCAAAACAGAGAAACAGAACTGTTTAGACTTCTAATTGTGAATGACCACTAAAACAAGCTCTTTTCTTTAGTGAAGGAGCAACTGTATAAAATACATAAATGCAGTTTCAGACTTGAGATTGCATAAAGTATATATGTTTGGGGTTTGTTGAGGTTTTATTATTATTATTCCAGGAACTAAATAACTTTTTTCTCTGTTGTCTAGGGATTTAAGTCATAATAATTTATTATCATCCAACTGGAGCATTGATTTGTCTGTCCATACTCTCCAAGAAGTGTAAGTTGTTTTTTATGAGGATAAAGTCTAAAGATATCCTACCTAATTCTAATTAGAACGTTTTATTGCATGTCAAGATACCTGGTCTGTCTTGCAGAAATGTTCAGTGTAAGTTAATTAAAAGTTTATGGTGGCAGCACATTTTATGTATAAAACTGTTGTGTTGTGAGCAGAAATCTTTCCCATGAAAGATGAGAGGAACAGTATTTTTAAAGAGAAATGAGGAGTATTTATTCTGGCTATAGCTGATTTTTTAAATGAAAGAGAAGTAATAGTTTCAATGAAAATAAGAAAAGCTAGCCTGTTTCACTGTTCAAATTGTTTAAATTAATAGTATTTAAGCTCTTGGGGAATCTTTTTTGTCAGCTACTAAATATTGTTAATACAGTAAAATTTCTAAATGCATTCATATGAATTATTTCTGCTGTGTACAGAAGGATTTTTTTCTTCTTTGAAGTGTCAGTAATTTTTTTTTCCCTCTATTTAAGGAAAATGAATTACAATGAGCTAAGTGAAATTCCATATTTTGGAGAAACAACTTCCAATATAACTCTTCTCTCATTGTAAGTAATAGCTCATCTGCCTTTTTCTTACTTAACAAAAGGGAGAACCATGTTAGAGTTCTGCTATCAAATTGCAGGAAAACATATTTTTTCTTGAAATACTGCTCATGTGAGGAGCATCAGGGAATATGTAAGCACTCTTTAAAGAAATACAAATCAGTTAGACAATCAAGTCACCCTAAATTACCAATAAAATGCAGTCAACCAAGGTATGCGGCTTTGAAGGGGTGGGATTCAGTCCAGGGGCTTCCCACAAGGACCAGCTCATCTGTTCATATGTCATGGTGGCAAATAGCTCTTGGATTTGCAGAATGGCTTTAGGAATTAACACTTTGGGAAGCATGTTGTGCATGTCCCATTCATGAAGCTCACTACTACTTTGATATACAGATTCCTGTTGCTGTTTCAGCTATGCATCCAGAAGGATGTGATGTTGTGATAATTATATTTACTGCTGGTCTTTTTCAGGGTGCACAATACCATCCCAGAAATAAATGCTGAGCAACTCCAGGTCTACCTTTCATTGGAAAATCTAGATCTTAGTTCTAATCTTATCTCAGAAATTAAAGCCTCTTCCTTTCCACGAATGCAGCTGAAGTACCTGTAAGTATGAGTGTTCGGCTGTCTCTGGAATTCCTGGCTCTACAATGATAATGTTGGAGACCTCATTTACTCATAATTAGTGTCTTGAAGTTGGCATCCTTACACAGCTTTGAACTGGTAGCAGTGCTTAATGGAGCTACAGATGTCCTTGAAATAAAATAGTTTTCATACCAATCTGTATTGTATTTTCCCAAATAACACGGAAAACAGCAATTGCTGTTGTCAGAATGCAGATCTGTAAGCCATAAGGGACAGGGAATAATTTCCGCCCTGTTTGAGTAGATCACTGTGGACATTGTGTTTACCACTTCTTATTGAAACATGGACATGCAGTAAAAATCAGCTCCTCCACCAATTCCTTTAGGAAACAGGATTTAGCTTGGTGATTTAGATTTCTCATGTGACTTTGCGAGGGTCTTGGGTTCTGTTAATCAGTGGTTCCTCTGAGGTGCTTGTGCCATTGTGTTCCTCAAATTCTCTGTGTTCTGAAAGGCCTCTTTCCTTCTTCCTTTCTTCCTTAGGAATCTGAGCAACAACAGAATAACTACTCTAGAAGCAGGTTGCCTTGATAACTTATCTAGCTCACTAATGGTGATAAAACTGAACAGAAATAGGATTAGTGTGATTCCACCAAAGATCTTCAGATTGCCTCATGTGCAGTTTCTGTAAGTAACAGTCTTGAAAACATCCAAACAACATTTACAGCTGAGCTGTTAATCTCACTTGTTCTTGACTTTCACACAGTGATGCTTGTTGCAAGGTGTCTTAATATTTGACTGTCATCTTTATGAAAGGGAACTGAAAAGGAACCGGATTAAAATAGTGGAGAGTCTTACATTCCAAGGATTGGAATCCTTAAAATCCTTGAAAATGCAGCGCAATGGGATTAGCAGACTAATGGATGGAGCATTCTTTGGCCTGGGTAATATAGAGGAATTGTGAGTATGCCTGGCTGTGGAATTTTTTAGCATAAAGAAAATGGCTCTGGGGAGTTGTGTCCTGTATGGTTTCCCTTACGTCAAGGCCATGCTGAGATATTGATGAAATCATAGGAATAGAGTATTTCCCCATTATTTTTATGTCATATCTGGTTACTTCAGAAGTGGTAAGATGCGCTTCCCCACTCCTGGAAGTGTTCAAGGCCAGGTAGAATAGGGCTGAATAGGTTGAATAGAGCAACCTGGTCTAGTGGAAGGTGTCCCTGCCCATGGCAGGGAGTTGGAATTGGAAGATCTTTGAAGTCCCTTCCAACACAAACCAGTCTTGTGAATCCATGATATTGGTCCTCTTTCCATTTTCTTCCTACATGGTGATGAAGAATGTTTGCCTCTGTAGTTGCTTTTTGCTGGTTTCCATTTGCAGTCACCATAATATGGGGTTGTTCTTTCCTCCGTGACTTTGACAGTGTGAACACAAGGATGTATGATGCAATGTTAGCAAGAGACTTTGTTTTAAAAAAGTTTTTTTTGAGAATAGAGATTATAGTTTTGTTTCTGTGACTCAATCCCTGAAGCTGGTGTTTGGTTACTCAGTTCTTCATATGCTTCAGGTCATTTTTAAAATTCAATGGGATTGAAAGAATCATGCATTTTGTGTTGTCTAAGGCTTAAAGTTAGTAAATAATTTTGAGATCCAAAAGGTGAAATTTTGCAATTAGATGTTTCATTGATTATCTGTTTGGCAAACGTTTTTCCCATCTAATTCATTAGAGAACTGGAACATAATAACTTAACAGAAGTAAACAAGGGCTGGCTGTATGGGCTGCGGACATTGCAACAACTCTATGTTAGCCAGAATGCCATCACCAGGATCAGCCCAGATGCATGGGAATTCTGCCAAAGACTTGCTGAGCTGTAAGTCCTGGGCTGCTATTCATTGGGGATTTTTGAAATGTTGCAATTATTGATTAGCAAGAATGAATTACTGAAGGAAGTACTCAATTTTCTTACTAGGCCCATGGTAATGATGTATTTTAATTATAAGTATTCTGTTAGGGAAATTAGAAAACAATAGTTAATCAAGTCAGATAGTATCTTAATAATTAATCCCCCTGCTTGCCTTTAAAGTATTTGTTGAATGTTTTCAGAGACTTGTCATACAATCAGCTCACTCGCCTCAAGGAATCTGCCTTTGTGGGACTTGGTTTATTGGAGAAGCTAAACCTGGGTGACAATCGCATTAATCACATTGCTGATGGTGTCTTTAGAGGTCTGACAAATCTTCAAACCTTGTAAGTACAGAAAACTTCAAACAGAAGTTTCAGTTTAATGCAATTTTAGTTTAAGTGGAGCTTTTGTAAGTAGAGACAGTGGATATTGCACTGTGGGAGCCCGAGATCCTTGCTGGTGCTGCCTTGCCTGCAGGCGTGGTAGGGCTGATAATCTTTTGGCTTGCCAAGATGACAGAATTCCAGCCCAGCTAAAACAAGCCAACCACTCAATTGTAGAGGTAGTAAGAAACAATGACTTGGTGACCTTGAGTGCTCAGATGTGTGTCCTGTGGCTTGAGAGGTGTTGGTACCTTGTGTATCCAGTTGTGGAGCAAATAGCCTGGAGCTCTTTCTTCTGGAGGGTTTCCTTAGGTTTGGAACCTCAGAAACCAAGGACTGAACCCTTTTGTGTTGTAGAAGGTTTGGTTTAGGCCATCTTGCGTATGTGCTGACCTCACAAACATAACAGGGGGGTGTAGAGTTTCTTCTTGCTGTTGAAGGCACAGCTTTGCACTTGCCAGGACCTTTACTGGCAGATCTTGGATATTTCTGAAGACACCCAGTCCTGTCCCAAGTAGATCTGAACAGTTGTAATTGTCCTAAATGTCAGTACTTGAGAAAGGAGTGAAAATTCATAACCCCTCTGTCACTTCATTAAATAAATGCTTAAATAAGCAAATTCACCAGAGAGATTCATGTAAGCAGTCATACTCTGTTAACCTTAATACAACCTTTTAATGAAATAATTAAACCTAATTTCTTAGATTTAGAGTAGCATGAAAAAGAACAAGAGCAGATCAATTAGTAGGTTGTCTTGGGCTCTCAGGGGTGTCAACAGTGAGGGAGGGCCTGGCCCTTTGCCTTGGGGCTGGAATGTGCAGGATAGAGAGCAGTGGTGATTAACAAGGCTCCAAGCATTAGTGCCCAGCCAGGCATGAGGAGCCAACTCCTCTCTCACACAATGAGGGTTTTTCTCTTGGACTGTTCACTCATTTTGCTGAGTGGTCTGAGTAGTGGAGTGTAAAAATACCTCAAAAAACAAGAGATATCATGTGGTTTTAGTTCCATTGTTGGTTGTGTGCTGGTTGTTTGGTGCCTCAGCTGGTGTACATATTTCTGTGTGTGGTTTTAACAAGACTTCTATATTTCAAAGTAAGAAAAATAAGAAAACTGTGTTACCACTGATGGTATCCTGGAGGTTGATCCCAGTCTCTTCCACAATGGTGTTCTACACAGTTTACAGTCTCACATAATGGGAAAGTAGATACTTCATTTTCCCCTCATTAGCACAGGGAAAGAGGTGTTTATATGAGTGATTTATACAGGTGCCTGTGTATGCAGCTAGTTTTGTGTCAGCTGGCTCGTTTGGAAGCTTCATCTAGCTGTTGCGTAGGGTATCAGGTAAAACACAGGGTGGACTATTTTTTATTAGCGGGATTTCCTTTAAATACACTCTGTGCATAGTGGTATCAAAACAGATGCTTTTGGCTCAGTCCATGCCATTCATAGTAAAAATGCAAGTGCACTTATTTCATCTTCTTTCTGAAGAGCATTTAATCCGCTCCAAACTGTATTGCTTTTGCTGTTTAGACCTCTGTTCTCCATGAGGGGCTGAAGTGCTGTGCTGAGGTCAATCAGCAATACCATTAGCTAATAAGATTTGTGAGCAGAGTATCAACTTCATCTTGAAAAGCCATCAAGGTGTGCCTGGCAGGCCTACACTGTAGCCTGGGTGTAATTGCTTAATATGCTAACGCTGGTATAAGCCTGTTACTTGAGAAGATTGCTGCTGGTGTATTGGTTAATTCCCTTACATGACCCAGCTTGCTTGAGGAGCCTCTCCCCGCTCCTGGCAAGTAGTCCATCACATGAAGAGTGCTGGTGAGACCGGGGCTTTCCTTAAATGCCACATCAAGAAGTTGTGCTGCAGAATTTGTTTGTGGTGCTTACTGCAGCACTTATCATGAAGTTTTCCCTTTTGCCCCTCTGAAATGAGAAATTAATCTCCTGACAAGTTTAGTTTTGTAAAAGATTTGAGACTTTCCAGGTGTGCCAGAGCCCCATACCTGGCCTGTCTTCCCTAGCTCACCACTAGCCCTGTTCACAATGATGTTCCAAGTCTTCTTTCTGAGAAATGTCTTCTCCTGCAGGGACTTGCGGAACAATGAGATCTCCTGGGCCATAGAAGATGCAAATGAAGCTTTTGTGGGACTCAGCAGGCTGGATAAACTGTATGTATTACACATTAGGGGAACAACAGCACTTCCCAGGCATGCAGAGAGGGAGAGTGCAAAATATTAAGTAATTGTCAGTCTATGACATGAGGCAGAAAGCCTTTCTCACAGTGTTTCCACTTGTGTGTAACAACCACTTGATGTAGTCCTGGGTTCCTTGTTCAGGAGCATCAGATCCATGTAGCACTGCATTTCCTTACAGCACCAATTTGATGAGATTAAGCATAAGTATTTGACTGCATATATCATTGAATACCTCACTCCCTCTGTGTGATGATTGTCTTTTTTTTTGCTTCTTTGGTTTGGGTAAAAGTTACTACTTATCAAAAGAACAATCCCAAAATACAAAGTAATTTTGAGCAAATTTGAAACACTATTGCATTAACAAAATTCTTGATACTTTGACTGTGCACTTTTCATCCAGTGCCACGTGTTTTGTAGGAAGCTCCATCCCATATAGTTAGAAATGTTGTTCAAATAGCCTGATGTGAGGGTGCAGTCCAGGAAGTTGTGTGCTGGTAGCAGGTTGGTAGTAGGAACTTACTGCTTCATTCTCAAGTTCTACTTACTGCTGTTTCATTCTCCTGACTTAAATTATCTTCTAACCCAAATCTCTAAGCTGAAAATAGAAAAGAAGCCCTGTTCTCAGGAAAATTAGTTGAGCCTTTAAGCTAAAAAGAATAGTATTTAGTCCTGTATCTCAGCTAGAATTAGAAAAAAAAAAAGTAGTTAAGCATCATAGGGTATTTCTTTTGGGTCTTGTTTGTGACCTGATGTTGACATTGACTGGTTTCTGGGCCTTTATTTTCAGAATCTTGCAAGGAAACCAAATTAAGTCAATTACCAAAAAAGCATTCTCTGGTCTCGAGGGACTTGAACATCTGTAAGTATTTTAATTTGTAGAACTCCTAATTATTTGTCAACTTCAGTCTTGTATTTTGTGTGAGATTTAACTGGAGGCAGCATATGAAATCACACTGACTCCTCATTGTGCTTTGCTTAACTTACAGAGATTTAAGCAACAATGCAATAATGTCCATCCAAGAAAATGCCTTTGCCCATGCTCAGCTGAAGGAGCTGTAAGTTCATAACAATTATTTAGAGATTCTTTACAAGCCCTACCTTGGAAAGAATTCTCAGCCATTGTAGGGTTGTTTGAAGTTGTCTGAAGTGTGTCTGCTTTCATCATGAAATATTTGCAGCAATGCTGGTAAAGTATCAACTCAAAGTTGGTAGCAGAATATTTTGATTTAAGGTTTGATAAAATCTTCAACTGCATTTCCTTAGTTGCAATTAGGAGGAGTTAACTTTTTCTTGCAGTACTGAACCATTGAGCTTTTCCTATCCTATGGTTTTGTAGCAAGCTCAGCGCTGTCTGTAGGCAGTAAATAAAACAAATAATTAATCAGTAATCTCTTGGGGATTAGCAAATCCTTGTGTTTTTCTGTGTTTTTCTTCCTATTTTGGGGGGCTAGGGAAGGGCTTTACCATTCACAGCTAGACAAGATTTTGTATGTGCTCGGCAGATGTTTAAGCTGATAGGGTCTTCTGTGGTCTTCAGACATCTGAAGTTATATTATGTGAAATGACCTTCACACCCAAGACTAATACTACTGTAACGCAGTATTTTCTGTGAGATAAAGTCTCTGGCTGTTGTAGTCTGGTCTAAAACTGTTCCTCCATTAGTTAACCTTGGCCAGATGGACTTAGTCTGTAAGATCTGCCGCTGTGAGGAGAATTTCAGGTGTTAAAGTTGCCTTCTCTGATGTATTTTAAAAGTGATGAGTCATTGATATGTGCAGGCAAAGAGCACGATGGAATCCTGGCTTGTTTGGTGCCTCTTTTCTCCCATGACTGGCTGCATCTTAGGACAGATCACTTCTTGTTAAATCCTAGACTGTCTCAAGTCAGTCAAACTCATACTTGGAGTATGGCAAACAAAACTCAGTCCCCCTTGTCTTGAAGTCAGTTCAGAGGTGGTCTGGCACTCCAGTGAATGAGTAATAACACTTAGGAAATTTTGAAAGCACTGTTGTAATCTGGTCTAAAACTGTTCCTCCATTAGTTAACCTTGGTCAGATGGACTTAGTCTGTAAGATCTGCCGCTCTGAGGAGAATTTCAGGTGTTAAAGTTGCCTTCTCTGATGTATTTTAAAAGTGATGAGTCATTGATATGTGCAGGCAAAGAGCACGATGGAATCCTGGCTTGTTTGGTGCCTCTTTTCTCCCATGACTGGCTGCATCTTAGGACAGATCACTTCTTGTTAAATCCTAGACTGTCTCAAGTCAGTCAAACTCATACTTGGAGTATGGCAAACAAAACTCAGTCCCCCTTGTCTTGAAGTCAGTTCAGAGGTGGTCTGGCACTCCAGTGAATGAGTATAACACTTAGGAAATTTTGAAAGCAGATGGTAGGGAAGAAGAGACCCATTGTTGTTTTCTGTTGGTAGGTTTTCTGTGGAGCAGAGAAAACAAGCTGCAGTTGGTATCTGTGTGAAACAAATCACTTTTGGCCTTAAATATTTATCAGCTGGCATTAAAATGAGAATTGAGGCTTCTGCTAATTTCATAATGGCAGTTGTGTTTAGTTTGAAACATGGAGCTGTGCTGCAATGCTATGTTCTTTTAATTGCTCTAAAGGGGGATGAGATAATTGTAAAGACAGGCTTAGTAGTTTTGGGATTTTTTTTTTTTAGAAGTTGAAACTGAGTTTTTATTCTCCAGGATTAAAATGAAATGTTAGGTTTTAATGCTGACATAGAGGGACTGATTTGAGCATAAATACCCAAGATTTTATAATAAATACCCATACTGTAAATCTGATGTGTCTGTATGTGTATGCTTTAAGTTGCTTTGCTGTGTGAAATCACAGCATGTGAAATAAACTTCACTCACCCTTTTGTTTTGCCCTGTTTCTGCAGAGTGCTGAACACAAGCAGTTTGCTCTGTGATTGCCAGCTGAAATGGCTGCCCCAGTGGCTCAGTGAGAGCCATTTGCTGCAGACTGTCAGTGTCAGCTGTGCTCACCCTGAGTGGCTGGCAGGACAAAGCCTTCTCAGTGTGGACCTGGATGCCTTTGTTTGCGGTTTGTATTTCTAGTGACTTTTGATACAGAAGCACAGTAACACAAGTCTTGTAGCTGAAATCAAGCTGTGGTTGCTGGGGAGGTACTTGGTCCTGGCTGTGGTGCCCATGTGGGCCCATGTACATCTCTGAGTCTGCTGTGAGTTTGGGGTTTAATTCTGCATCTCTTTGCTCTGTTTTGTGGTGTTTGAGCACTGGAGTTAACCCGAAGGTAGTGCTGTTGGGCATTGTTTTTTATTTAGCTCACTAGTAAGAAGGGATTATGCTTTCGTTCTCCCTGCTTATGACTACCTTTAGCTTTGTAAGGTCTGTTTGATACTTTCTTCCTGCTTCTTGCCCATACCAGCAGAATATTGCAGAATCATAAAATAGTTTGGGTTGGAAGGGACCTTAGAGATCATCCAGTTCCAACCCCTGCCATAGACAGGAACACCTTCCATGAGAACAGGTTGCTCCAAGCCCTGCCCAACCTGGCCATAAGCTCTTCCAGGAATGGGACAGCCACAGCTCGGGGCAAGAATTAGAGTAGTTCAGGCTCTGGCACATTTCCTGGTGCTCTATAACTGTGATGTTTATGGTGGTCTCAAACTCTTTGCCCAGAGTCTGCGTGAAGCCTGTGGCAGGCCTGATGTTTCCTTTTCCTGGTGAGCAATTTTATAACAGTTATTTGTGTATGTGCAATTCTTTCATTGCTTTGTTATTGTAGCCTTTGCCACCAATCATGTAGGTGCACACACCCACTTCTCCACTCCAGTACAACCACGGTGGCATCTGACAGAGCTCTGCACGTGTCTGTGAGAGTGTCTTTGCTAAATCTGTGGATATGGAAATCAGTTTCATCGAGTGGGATGAGTTAGTGAAGTTCCGGCTTGTTATGCTTTGTGCTTGTAGAACTTCAAGGCTCTTCAGGGTATTTAAGCTATCTGAAAGTAAGTCTCAGTCCTTCATAAAGTGGCCTGGCTCTTCAGCTGAGCAGGATTTTTGAGTGTGATCTAAATATAGCAAGTTTCAGACAGTTGGACAAAAGGCAGGGCTGCTTGGCACTACACTTCCACACTGATTGTTTTTAATGCTGATTCTTCTGCCTCCTTCACAGCTTGATTTCCAGCTCAAAACAGCTGAATTTGTGCCCCTCAAACATCTGTTCCCAACGTTTTGGTTTTGCTTACATTGTCTCTTGAGTGAGTTTTCTTGCAATATTAATTGAAGTTTAAGAGGAAAGTAGCTAATCTCGGTGCTTTTCTTTTCAGATAATTTCCCTAAACCACAGATCAGAGTCCACCCCGAGACCACGGTGGCCCTGCGAGGCACAAATGTGACCCTGATGTGCACTGCTGTGAGCAGCAGTGACTCTCCCATGGCCACGGCCTGGCGCAAAGACAGCGAGGTCCTCTACGATGCCGACGTTGAGAGCTTTGCCAGGTACCAGCAGCAAAGTGGGGAGGTGCTGGAATACACCACTGTCCTGCACCTCTTCAATGTGAATTTCACTGATGAAGGGAAATACCAGTGCATTGTCACCAATCACTTTGGCTCCAATTATTCCAACAAAGCCAAGCTGACTGTCAATGGTAAGTGATAGTGGTAAAAAAGGAGAAACACTCTGAATCTAAAACTCCATTTAAGTAGCTGCTAGTCTATTTTTCACTAAAGCTGGCCCAAAATACTCTTGCAAATATCAGTGGGATTTAGGTATATCACGCATAATTTTATAAAGCTGCGAAGAAGTGATTTTTTTTTTTTTGTGGGTGAGAAGCCTCTGTTCACTTTTTGAAAGTGACATTTATCTCCCGTGCTTTGTTAGAACACAATTAGTTGCTCATCTCATTAGTTGGAGATGGAATTCTTTAAACTAAAAGCTCCCTCTACTGTCTCCTCAGAACTCAGCACCTTTCCCACATGTTTGTAAAACTGGGAAGACTCATCAGACAATAAGTGGTAAAAACTCTGAAAAGTCAAAAGTGAAGTTTGTTTTTATTTTTAGTCATCATAATTCTGTTTGTTTTGAGGGAAGGGGAGCTAAGAAGACGATGTTCATATCAATGAGCAGACCACTGGTCCTCACAGTATCTCAGAGCAGAGGTGATGAGATGGAAGCTTACCTTCCCTGTTAGCAGAAAAAAAAATGTGGCAAAGACTTTTCCCTTGATTCTTCCCATGAGAAATCATCATGTTCACATCATCTTAGAGAACTTAATGGCTTTAAACTGAAATAGAGTATGTTTGCATTGGATATTAGGAAAAAAATTTCTCTCTGTGAGGTTGGCAAGGCTGTGGTACAGGTTGCCCAGAGAAGCTGTGGCTGCCCCATCCCTCTAAGTGTTCAAGGCCAGGCTGGACAGGGCTTGGAGCAAGCTGGGGAAGTGGAAGGTGTCCTTGCCCTTGGGCATACATTGTCTTAAGGGTCTCTTCCAAAGCATACTGTGATTCTATGAACACTGTAGATACTGTATTTAAATTTTGGGAGAAAGGCTCTTAGAAATAACCACTGAAAATTTGTGCAGTTCTTCAGAAGAATCTGTTGCTCTCTCTTATGGAGTGTTTCACATATGTTTTCAAATTTCCTCTCTGCTGTGGAGCTTTTGCTGCATTTTACCTGATAATGAAAATGCTGACTCGATGTCCCCTTTGATCCAGAGCTCCCTTCTTTTCTGAAAACTCCCATGGATCTCACTATCCGCACCGGGGCAATGGCCCGGCTGGAGTGTGCTGCTGAGGGCCACCCCCCCCCACAGATCTCCTGGCAGAAAGATGGTGGCACAGACTTCCCTGCTGCAAGAGAGAGGAGGATGCACGTCATGCCTGAGGATGATGTGTTCTTCATTGCAAATGTGAAGATGGAAGACATGGGGATCTACAGCTGCATGGCCCAGAACATCGCAGGGGGACTCTCAGCCAATGCCACCCTGACTGTGCTGGGTAAGTGTGGCTGGCCTGTGCTGGCTCATGGATCCCTGCACATCTGCACTGGAAGTGTAGCTTAGCTATAACTAGCAAGTTGAAATGGTGGAGAATGAAGTTAAAACACAAAGAGCAGCACTTGGTGTGATGTTTACACAGGGAAGCTTTAGGAACTGAGTTGCAGAGCTGCTGGTGGAGTTGGAGTTAGCATGATCTTTGCAGGGAGCTGAGGGGCATATCTTAGTCCAGCAGTGTCGATCAGGCAAGTAATTTGTGTTGCCTTATAGCAAATTTTGTTACAGGTAACAAACTTGATATGAAGAAGACCAGTGGGATCTTGGGATGCATGAGGAAGAGCATTGCCAGTAGGTCAGGGAGGTGATCCTGCCCCTTTGCTCAGCCCTAGTGAGGCACATCTGGAGTGCTGTGTCCAGTTCTGAGCTCCTCTGGACAAGAGGGATGCAGAGTCCCTGGAGCAAGTCCAGCAGAGGCTACAGAGATGATGAAGGGACTGGAGTATCACTCTTACAAGGAAATGGTGAATGGTTGGACTTGATAATCATAGAGGCCTTTTCCAACCTAAATGATTTCATGATTCTGTGAAAGGCTTATGGAATGGGCTTGTTCAACCTTGAGAAAAGATGTCTGAGAGGAGCCCTCATCAACGTGTGTCCATGTCTGCAGGGAGGGGTCAGAGCATGGGCTTGGCTGTGCTTGGTGGTGCTCAGCAATGGGACAAGAGGCCATGGGCAGAAACTGATGCACAGCAAGCTCTGCATGAATGTGAGGAAGAACTTCTTTACTGTGCAGGAAGAGGCTGCCCAGAGTGGAGTCTCCCTCACTGGACATGATCCAGAACCATCTGGATGAAATCCTGTCCCGTGTACTCTGGGATAACCCTGCTTGAGCAGGGAGGTAGGACCAGATGACCCACTATGGTTCCTTCCAAGCTGACCCATTCTGTGAACTATGCTGAGTAATAATGGAAGGTCAGTTTCTTCCAGAGTACAGCATTTTTTGAAGACACTGACTCTTAACATTATGGCCAAATGTAGAATTGGACTGGCACAGGTTTCCCAAAGCAACTGCAGCTGCTCCAGCCCTGGAAGTGCTTGAGATGCTTGGATGGGGCTTGGAGCTACTTGGTCTAGTGGAAGGTGTCCCTCTCTATGGGAGGGGATGGGACAGGATGATCTTTGAGGTCCCTTCCAACCCAAACCATTATAGATTAGATTCCATGATTCTTTGAAGTTATCTTACAATTTCTCTTTTTGTCCCAGAAACTCCTTCCTTCATGAGGCCCCTGGAGGACAGGACAGTGACCCGAGGTGAAACTGCTGTCCTGCAGTGCATAGCTGGTGGCAGTCCTGCCCCTCGCCTCAACTGGACCAAGGACGATGGTCCCTTGACAGTCACCGAGCGGCATTTCTTTGCTGCAGCAAATCAGCTCCTCATCATAGTGGATGCAGGACTGGAGGATGCTGGGAAGTACACGTGCATCATGTCCAACACACTGGGCACTGAGCGTGGCCATATTTACCTAAATGTCCTGGCGTCCCCCAACTGTGATTCTTCCCAGGGTGCCATTGTCCATGAAGAGGATGGCTGGACAACAGTAGGGATTGTGATCATCGTTGTTGTGTGTTGTGTGGTGGGAACATCCTTGGTGTGGGTTATCGTCATCTACCACATGAGGAGAAAGAATGAAGACTACAGCATCACTAACACAGGTTAAGTGTCAAATCAACAGTCTCTGGTCTTGTTTTTAGTCCAAAACACTTGAAATTTCTGGATTCATTACAAATGGATAAGATTAAAGAACTGAAGATTTCCTTCTAAAATCCCTTCAGGGTTTTGCTCAAATTCCTCAATTTTAGAAGTTCTTTTAAATACCAGAAGTGTGCTAATTCTATTACTTATACACTAGGTTTGCCCTACATTGAGGAAAAACAGTAAAGTTGGAAGTAGATATTTTAATAAACTTAGAAATGTTTTCAGGGCCTGGAATAATAGGTGTAAAGTTTCTTTCTGGCTCTGTCAGCTTTGAATTGGCCGTCTGGATTTGTAATTACTGGGGCAGAAAAAAGATACCTACACGTGAATTGAAATTCTGGATATTCTTGTTAATGTGAGGAATAGTGTTGGTAATATCTTGAAATCTTCACACTGTTTAATGCTGCCAATGTTAATTCTGCCTTGCAGAGGAGATGAACCTACCTGCTGACATTCCCAGCTACCTGTCCTCCCAAGGAACACTGTCTGAGCCTCAGGAAGGCTACAGTAACTTGGAGGCAGGGAGCCATCAGCAGCTGATGCCTCCAGCTGGCAGCTACATGCACAAAGGCACAGATGGTAAGCAAAGGCCTCAGGTGTGTTGCCAGTGCCTCATCAGGATGCCAATGCACAGTCTCATCCTCACAGCTTAAGTGTCAAGATAGATATTTATCCTGTTTCTTTCCTTTGGCATCTCAAGAGCCCAGGCAGAAGAGGTGGAAATAGATTTTGATTGGAAGATGACTAGCTGTGACTCCTATCCTCGGTATAAAATTGGCTGGTTGGTTGGTTGGCTTGTTTTAAGGTTGGTTGGCTTGTTGCAACTAAGGGGTCTGCACTATTTCCCTACCTTGTTTGGACAGGTAGGGAAATAGGACAGGTAGGGAAAACATTTTCTGGATGTTTGTGTCATTGAGCGTGCAGAGATGCTTTCTTTGCCATCAAAATGCTGAGGACTCATTACTCGTTATATAGGCTGGCTTGAAAATTGATCCTCAGTGTAAGTTTTTGACACCTGTCCATGATCCCTCCAGTGCAGTCCCACTGCACTAGGGTCTGTATCAGGAAGGAGTTGAGAAGCAGCTCATCTGAGTGACTGGTTGGCTCTGATGTGGGTGGGCAGGCAGGGGCAAGTCAGGTCCAAGATGGATGTGGGCAGGTATCCCAGTTTAATCCCTAGGCTGTTTCACCCAAGCTGGCTGGATCTGTGCTGAACTTTTTTGCCCATGAAATAGGGGAACATGTCTGTTGTTCCCCATGTCAGCTTCAAAAGGGGACTGCTGTGGAGAATTTGGATGGTGGGAACCTGGGGGGTTTCTCATGTGATCTCTCAAGCAGAGTACTCTGTTACTCGTTTAAGTGTAAAAAGACCTTTCAATCTGTGCTGCTGTAATAAATGATCATACCAGGACATAAAGCCTATAGAAATCTGGCATCCTCATCCTCTGAGAGTATTTTCTTTTTCCATTGTGTTCATTAGGTGGTGCAGCACCATTAGTGATCTGCTCAGATTGTTATGACAATGCCAACATCTACTCCCGGACCCGAGAGTACTGTCCCTATGCCTTCATCACCGAGGAGGACCCCCTGGACCAAGCACTCCCGAATCTCATGGTGCAGATACCCAAGGAAACGTACACAGCATGCACCCAGAATGAAACCAGTGCTCTGGGTAATCTCTTAGTGGACAGAGATGTGCCTGTCTTCCTTACCAACCATGACAAAAAAACTGATAAGAAAATCTCTTCCCAGCAGATTATTGGTGAGTGTCCACTTTTCCTTTTGTTGCTTTGTATTCCCTGGTCATTTTGGCTTTCATTATGCTGCCCTTCACTATTGACACACAGCTTCAAGTGCCAGTAGTTTGTGGAATAACTCACGTTTATTAACCACTTATTCTCCAAATGCCCATGTTGCATCAGCAAGCAACAGCTTACATCTAGTACCTGAGATTGAAGAGGATGATGTTAAAAAGATAGAATTTCTTAATTTGCAGGTGTAAGTTTGTGGAATGTGAGCCTTTGCTTATACTACAAGGGCATGTATTAACCAAATGTTGGAGCTTCATATATGAAATTCAAATAGCCTTTCTGTTTGAGCTGGCCTGAAGTTCAAAAAACTCCCTAAACTGGTTATTTTTATGTTGACTTTGTTCCAGATCAGCTTTTTAAAAATTCACACTGAAGCTCTGTGTGCTCCTGATTACTGTAAGAGATAGCTGGAAAATGAGAGCATCTAGTAAAATATACTCTCAAAACCAGAGAAAATCAGCTCAGAAGGATTGTAATTGCCGAGTCACAGAGCTCAAATCTTTTAAAAATCTGTGTGATTGATCTCTGCTCTTTGTGCCAGTGACAGCACCTGAGGGGACAGCTGGAGCTGTTTGGGTTGGGTATCAGGAAAAGGTCCTTCCTGCAGTGGGTGCTCGGGCACTGCCCAGGCTCCCCAGGGAATGGTCATGGCCCCAAGGCTGCCAGAGCTCAAAGAGTGTTTGGACAGCGCTCTTCGTGCACAGGGGGGAATTTGTTGGGGTGTCTGTGCAGGGCCAGGAGTTGGACTGGATGGTCCTTGAGGGTCCCTTCCAACTTAGGATATGCCTTCATTCTATGAACTTGCTTCTGTTCATCTTCTCATTTTTCTCCCTCAGAGCCCTTGCAGGTTCCTCTGTGGGGAGGCAGCAGAGACCTGGCTTGCTCTCGCCCGCAGTTCCTGCAGCATCCGTTGGCCCACGAGGCCCCGCAGCCACTCCGGGGCGAGCGGGACCGGGCATCGCCCCGGCCCTGCCGCCGGCTCCGGGAGGAGAGTTTTGATTTTAACAGGACACACAGTGAAACCACATAAAACACTCACAAAGCCTTGAAAGCAAATCCACATTGACTGACTGTATTTACTACCTCAGTACTAACCCCAAGGCCAAAGATGCTTGTGTACATGTCTGCAAGTACTAAATAGTCAGACTCTCTTGGAAGAGATGGCACATGCCCTTTTTTCTGCAATTTTTCCATTGGAAATGGGAATGTGCGCCAGGGAACACATGGAAAATCAGTGCCATTTACAAAAATAGTATTAAAACATGGATTGTGTGATGCTGGAAGCAGTCTTTGTGGTGGTGCATGTTTTGGAAAGCTCTCAAGAACGTGTGTAGCTATTTCACAGTGCTTTGTCTGCTTGGAAACAAACCATCAGGGCCTCCTCAAGGAATTCCCCCGGAAAGTGTAAAACTCTTGGCCAGCTTTTCCTTCCTTAGACTGTTGGCAGGTGTCTGTTGCCAGTCTAAATTTGGGGCTTGTTTTCTTCTATGAATAATGGACTCTAGTTGTAAATAAACTCACATTTATAAATATTTTGTATACAATGAGCATATAAATGTGTTGACTGTAATGTAAATTATTTTTTATTGCGCCAAAGTGTGTATCATACTGTTAGTCTTGACAGCTGCATATCAAGCCATATGGGGAGCTTGGGGGGGACCAAAAGCTTGTTTGTGAGGGAATAGAGCTGTCTGTTTTGAAAAGTGCATTTACTTATAGATATGTGGTAGAACTGTGATATTGATGAATTTCATTGTTGCCTACAACTGTGTGCCTGGCTGACCTGGCTGCAAGCTGATCCATTTCATGATAATGGCAGAATTTCAAGGTTTATCTAAGCTTTTATCTATAAAAAACTCCTTTGTATTGTATCTGCTGAGAGGGTCTCCATATGTTTCCTAGCTGACAGTTAAGTGAACTTTTTAAAAGAATCTGGTGATGAAAAGCACGAGGTAAATTGAGAGAGCACTTGATGAGTACTTATTTCTTCTGCATAGCCAAAGGCATATGGAGTCTAAAACACTGATCCTTTTCTGTTGTAAAATATCAGGCTACATTGTTGAACTAATAGTTCCCTTAAATCTTAGTGTGGTCAAAATGTTTAAATATTTGACAGGTGGGAAATGATACAATGCAGGGAACCCCTCACTACTGAAAAATTTTGCTGACACAGAGGAAGCTCAGACTCCATAGTTTCAGTGAGATGTGAGTGAGAAAATGAGGAAGAACAATGACATTATAAAGGGTTCCTGGAAAGTTGTTCCTTTTGGCGGAAAATGCCCCTTTTTTCTAGAAGGTGGTAAAAGACTCCTCAGGGATGGGTTTTCAGCAGGTACCTTGTGCTCTGTGGTCATGCCTTTAGAGTCAGGTGCTTCCTTCCTGGTCACTGCTGCCTGCTTTGGAGCTGTAGGATTTGTACCCAAATAAAACCATCTGTGTGATATTTTTATAAAGACAGAAACCCCTTTTTGGCCCAGCTCATTTGTAGGTATGTGAGAATTCCCATTGATCTATTCCTGGACTGAAAGGTTTGCAACTCAATTGTCAGGTCTAGTTGTGCAGGATCACAGCAGAATTTAGACTGTGGTGAAGTATTTGAGTACACGAGTGGGGAAACACTGGGACTAATGCTGCTTTTCCCATGGCTCTTTGGACAGGAATAATAGTCAAGTTGTTGCAAATGAGTAAATATTTTAAGGCCTTTTCCCATACTCTCAAAGCCAGCATGGCTGCTTTGGTAGATAGCAGCTTTATTGGGAAGGGGATGCAATTGTCCTTGACCTTTGGGTAAAATAGAGAGAAACATAGGTCTGTAAATTTTGGGATTCTGACAGGTGATTTTTTTTTTTAATTATCAGTTCATTTCTGTCTTGGTTTTATTTCCTCCAGACTTTTTCCTTCCCAGACAGCATTTAAGGCACAGTGCTTATTCAGTTCTTATTCTGAATCCAAAGTGATCCCTGCTGCAGGGACTAGGCACTTTAAATCAGTTTAAGTCCAGATGAAAAGGGTCATGCCATGAAACTACAGCAGCAGCAAAGCCTTATCATTTTGGGCTGCTCTCTCAGCCAGTAGTCACTCAGGATACTGGGACAAAGTGCTGCTGGCATCTGTGATTCCCAGCAGTGGGAAAACTGCATCCCTGCTGCTGCTGCTCTCTCATCGCCGTTTGGCAAATGCCTTGTTCCTAATTCTTTCATTCCTCTCTCACTTCGTGGGAGCTGAGCTCACACAGATCTGTCACAGTGCAGCTGGCATTGTCCAGACCCTGAGAGTACTTGGGGTACAACTCCCTGGATCAAGGGAATTCCTCACCTTTAGGTAGGTGAGACCTGCTTGTCCTGGGCCAGGGCTTTAAAATCACTGCTGTCTGCACCGGGACTGTGCTGGCTGTCAGAGAGCTAAAGCTGCTCTGATTTCTGTGAGAGAGTGGCCTATAAATGCTGAATCCTGAATTAAGACATTTACATCCTTCCATGAGCATTTAAAATCCATAAGCTGGTTGTAAATAGCTGATGCTTGTAAGTAGGTGATACTTTGCTGTACTGTGGTAAAACTTCTTTGGTAGACTTGGAGGAGAAAATCATGTGTGTCTTTTTTTCCCCTTTGCAGAGGGACAGAGTGGCCTTTCTTTTTTCGGTAAAAACAAGCAATTGCCTCAATCAATGCCAAAGCGCTACCGGGACAGGAACTGAGGGGGGTCAGAAGCAGCAAGAGCAAACTGCTTGTGTTCCCTCTTGCTATTTCCTATTGTCTATTTATATTTTTTTCACAGCAGAATGTATATTTTGTATAGCATATGTAATATATGTTTGTCCATTGTAACATATGTCCAAACAATAAAATGCTGTATACATTGAGCATCCAGTGTAACTCTGTTAGTTTGCAAATTGAGTAATTATATTTTGTCCTATGTTATTTAATTTTCATAGGGGGAAAAAGAGTAAAGTTTGCCAACTGGACATGGTCCTGAGACTCTGAGATTTGGACAAGGTGACCTCTGGAGGGTGTTTCCATCTCAACCATTCTCTGAATCTGTGATTCTCGTTTCAGTTTTCCTGCACAAAGTACCTGTACCCTTTTTGGAAAACAGGGGAGGGGTGGTTCTTCCCTGGTATTGTTAACTCTGGGCCAGGAGCCTTGCAGATCACTGTGCTCCCCACACTTTTCTCTTGCTTTTCCAATGCTGCCCTCCTGCACTTTGGATCCTCTGAAAAGGAGATTTTCTTTCCAGCAATGAACTGTTAGCACAAGTTGGTGGGAGCATCTCCCATATGCCAGCTGCAGGAGATGCTGCTAGCCCAATCCCTCCTGAGAACCAGCATGAACTTTTTATTCCTTTGAATAACTCCCTCTCTCTCCCCCTGCCTTCTTCTGCTGGTTCATGTTCTGATAATTAATCACCTTTGTTCTCCTGTGCTCTGTCCTGTGATCTTCACTCTTGTACCTGTTCCCAGATCTCAGCACCGTCTAGGTTTTCCCAGGTTAACTTGAGCTGCAGCTGCCTCATGCCCTGCTCCTGCTGACAGAGATGTTTACAGCCAGGGAAAGAGCTCCCAAGAGCTGCATGTGCCTTGTCCCCCCCACCCTAGACACACTGACCTCCGTGTTTATTCTGGGGAAGGACTGCACAAGGGCATGCCGTGTCAGGACAAGGGGGAAAGGCTTTAAGCTGGTGAGGGAAGGCTTAGATTAGACATTAGGAAGAAGTTCTTCCCTGTAAGGGTGCTGAGGCCTTGGTACAGATTTTCCAGAGCAGCCATGGCTGCCCCATCCCTTGAAGTGTCCACAGCCAGGTTGGGC